ATCAAGGGAAACTTACTCGTGTTGCTGCGGTAAATTACTTGATCATCTTTCGTTTTATATATATATATATATATATATATATATATATATATATATATATATATATATATATATATTCAGTTATGTATATTTTGTTATGTTTTATGAGCACAAAACTTAGAATCTTGAAGCAGCTACTGATTCAGATTCATATATTGGGTTTTGAAAGCAGTTTCCTATTGGGATAGATCCTGGTAGGTTTATACGAGCAATTCAACTTCCTCAAATCAAAGAACATATAAAAGAATTGGAGGAGAGATTTGCTGGTCGAAAGGTAAATCATAATCTACCTGTGTATGCACTACCAAAACAAATCTTTTTCAAGGGATGCAATATAATATGGAATTTTCAAATTTTCAATAATTTGTTACACTACAAAAAAACTAAAAGTTTCTTTTCATGGTATGAACATGCATATCTTGGCATTTCTCATTGGTGTTTTTTTTTATATGAAGGTAATGTTAGGAGTCGATCGCCTTGACATGATTAAGGGAATTCCACAAAAGATTTTGGCATTTGAAAAATTCTTGGAAGAAAATCCGGATTGGCATGACAAAGTGGTGTTGCTTCAGATTGCAGTGCCAACAAGAACAGATGTTCCCGAGTGTATGCTTTCAATCATTTTAAGGGTTAAATGCAAGAAATAACAACATACTTTTGTTTATTTGTTTAATTATTACAATGCCTTAATAATAAAAAGATTGAAATTATATTATTATACTGGAAAGAAATGAAAGTAGGATGCTATGATACACAAATAAATAAAAGTATGTTGCTATTTCTTTTTTCCTTTATCAATAATGGATCAATTATCAAAGCATGAAACTCGTGTTATTTCTATTTTTGTTCTTTGTGGATTAACAGATCAAAAGCTCACATGTCAAGTTCATGAAATTGTTGGAAGAATTAATGGAAGATTTGGGAGCCTTACAACTGTCCCTATTCATCATTTGGTTTGTCTTTTCTTTTAATTGAAAAACATCTTGTTGAATCTTGAGTTAAAACACAAGATATTGATTCAATGTATAATGGTTGATTATTATATTATCAAGAAATATCTTAAAACTTGAATAATTTGTATTCGATCCCCCCCTCCCCCCTACAAATACTGTTATACCTTTGGGAGAAAAAGGTTAATTAAACTACGAAATACAAGATAATGATTGTGTGAAAGATTCTTCTCTTCATGTAGATGCATCAATAGAATAATATCCCATGATTTTTTAGCCTTGTAATCTGTGATTCCTTTTCTTTATACAGGATCGTTCTCTTGACTTTCATGGATTATGTGCACTATACGCCATTACAGGTATGCTTTAACCTCTACCAAATCATGTGTTATGCTGTTTGAATGCAAGAAATAACATACTTTTATTTCTTTCTATTACAACATTGTATTTCCTTTTTTTTTCTTATTAACATTTTGTACTTTAAAAAGCTACCCAATTATAGCTTTTATACTTTCAATTTTTTTTCCTTATTAGGGTATTGTACAAATTTATTCGTATTTGGTTGGCTTTTTGAAATGGAAGTAGGATACTATAGCACACAAATAATTGAAAGTACTTTGCTCTTTCTTTCATTTTAACCCTATTGTACTTTACTCATAGATGCTAAAAACTATGCTTCTTTCTCCCTTAAAAAATCTCAATTAACAAGTCTTTTTTTGCTACCTAACACAATCATATTTTCTCGAATTGGTGGATAAAGTGATATACAATTTTCTTCTTTTTTTTACATAGATGTGGCTCTTATTACCTCATTAAGGGATGGAATGAATCTTGTGAGTTATGAATTTGTAGCTTGTCAAGCTTCAAAGAAAGGCGTTCTAATCTTAAGTGAGGTATTTATTCCTAATTATTCAATCACTACAAAAAGATAGTCAAGTGGGTAAATTGAAAAAAAAAAATTGGTAAAAGTACATTGTTAGTTTTCTTTTCTCTATTTTTCCAAAAAAAGTAAGTGCATAGTTATTAAACATTACAATTTTCATGGAATGGATGAAGTAGTAATTTGTATGTTTCATACACATAGTTTGCAGGAGCAGCACAATCTCTAGGTGCAGGGGCAATTTTGGTAAATCCATGGAACATTACAGAAGTAGCTTCTTCAATTGGTTATGCTCTAAATATGCCTGCTGAGGAAAGGGAAAAAAGACACCACCATAACTTTGTCCATGTCACTAGTCATACATCCCAAGAATGGGCTGAAACATTTGTTAGGTATGCAATCTTATTTGTTTACCAAATATTATCAATTCACTTTATTTTTTTATCAATTAAATAAATGTAAATGTAAGCATGTGGTTTATTTATTGTCTTGATGTGTAGTGAATTGAATGATACAATTGTGGAAGCTCAATTGAGGATTAGACAAATTCCACCTCTACTTGAAACAAATGAAGCAGTTGACCGGTATTTGGATTCGAACAACCGTTTACTCATTTTGGTATTCTCTCCCTTTAAATTAAATACAAAAAAGAAAAAAAAAATGTTGTTCTAAAATTAGTTTGTATACTTTCAACTTCATAGGGGTTTAATTCAACACTGACTGAACCTATGGATACGGGTAGACAATTCGATCAATTCAAAGAAATGGAACCGAGGCTACACCCTGAAGCAAAAGAAGCTTTAAAGAGACTTTGTGATGATCCAAAGACTACAGTAGTCATCTTAAGTGGAAGCCATCATTCTGTCCTTGATAAGGTATTAAATGCAAGAAATAGGCATCCCATCATGTTTAACAAACACAGGTTTACATCATTAGCAATTAAATGTTGGTGTTTTATTTGATGAATGTGCAGAACTTTGGAGAATTAAACATATGGTTAGCTGCAGAACATGGAGTGTTTTTAAGAACACCCAATAAAAAATGGACAAGAAACATGCCCCAAGTACACATGGATTGGGTTGATAGTGTCAAGGTCAGTCCATGTCCATTCACCCGACATTTCCCCTTTTCGACATCATCATCATGAGCATGTGCCCCAAACCCTAAACACTTTTGTCTAACATTAAAACTATTTATAAATATTTCGTGTGCGTTGAATATGATTATACAATTACAATAATAATCGTTTAAAATCATATACTTGGGAGGCTTTATGATATCTTGATTTCAGCACGTCTTTGAGTATTTCACCGAGAGAACTCCTCGATCTCAGTTTGAGCTTCGTGAGACATCATTGGTTTGGAATTATACGTATGCAGGTTAGGTTATTATCCTCGTCAATTTATATTTCCTTTTATATATATATATATATATATATATATATATATATATATATATATATATATATATATATATATATATATATATATATGTTTTTAGATTAATTCAATTTCCACTTTAATTATGGGCTACAGATATCGAGTTTGGAAGGCTTCAAGCTAAAGACATGTTGCAGCACCTTTGTACAGGACCCATATCAAATGCATCCGTAGAAGTTGTTCAGGGTGGCAGGTCCGTTGAGGTTCGCACCACTGGAGTCACCAAGGTTTCTCATTTTTCCCTTCTACTTCTTTCTTTCTTTATATATATATATATATATATATATATATATATATATATATATATATATATATATATATATATCTGTCCCATCCCATGTGACATGACATACTGAGTTTGATGTGCATTGGACTGGAACTGATATCAAAAGGACTTGCTCGGGATCTCTCGACTCTGCAAAAAGACATAAATGTTCTCCTCATCCTCATCATTGAAAATAGTCCTAGAAAACTTGTCTAGTCTCGTCCCATGTAACAAAATGCATTTGGTTACACTCGATAGGAAATGACAGACCGGACAAGCTTTTTAGGGCTATGTTTAATGATGAGGATAAGAAGGGCATACACGTGTTTTTCACATACAACAGATCAAGAGGGATTCCTTCGTGCTTTTTTGCGTGAGACAAAAATTTGCAACTTTATCATGTGATCCCTTTTTCTCCAATCCTTTCCAGGGTGCAGGAATTAAACGTATTTTAGGACAAGTCATACATTATAAAGACACAAGGGAACCAATCGACTATGTTCTATGTGTGGGACATTTCCTCCCCAAGGTATATTACCTTTCCATCTAACCAAAATACTATCATATACATACAACTCACTATCTCTATAATCTATTTAAATCCTTATTGTATTAGGATGAAGATCTTTACACATTTTTTGAGCCGGAGCCACATACTCTGGTGAGGTCAAGCTTATCGACACCGGTCAATGGATCATCTTCAGATCGAAACGGGTCCACAGGACATAAAAAATCTCATCCGTTTCCACCTTCTAACAGCAAACATATTAGCAATGGGGAGAAAAAAGATGCCACACCATCAATTCTTGATCTCAATAGTAATAATTACTTCTCTTGTTCAGTCAAAAGAAAGCGATCCAGTGCTAGATATCTCTTAAATTCATCAGCCGATGTTGTCTCGCTGTTAAAACAAATGGCAGATGTTTTATAGTCGTAATAATAGTGAATACACACACACACAAAATGTTAACAGTGGTAAATACATTGCTAACATGGATAAAAGGTATTTCTTGCAATAGTAACTCATGTTACAAATCTAAAAAGCTAGAAAAATGTTCTGAAATGCACTTCTGTGGGGCCCCTTGAGTCGGCGGATTGCACATTTTTTTTTTTTTTGAAAGTTGTCGGCTTGCCAATTTTTTCTACACTTGTTGATAGCAAATTTTTGTGTAGCTTTTAAGATGTGGAAAGCAGTCACCTCCTTGTATGAAAATTTCACTGAGCTATTTACATATTATTTTGAGTGCAATAATATTGGAATTTGTTTATATGGTTTATAGATCGTGTGGGGAAATAAGAAACAACATTATATTATGTATTAATGTATGAGAAATTGAGAATGGTATTGTTGATTGTGTACTACATTAATTTGGTAAAAGTTAAAAAACGATTTTTTTTTCTTAAAAAAAAAAAAATCAGAGAAGACATTTTTGTTACAAGGTACAAACTATTATTGTAAACATGGATAACATACAATACAATGGATCCAAGGGTTATTTCCAATTATATACAAGTGGGATGAGTTATAACGAGGGCATTTTTATCTTTTCCACATATGAGAGATCTAACAACAAGACCATGTCCCACCTTTTCTGAGTAGGACAAAAAAATGTAACTTTTGTCCAACTGACATTAGTCAGAGTCCCATGTCACATGTCAGACAAACACAGTACAAGCTGTTATGTCTGTATTGGTGCTACACAATGAGTTGTTATAGATTCTATTCATCTGATGTGTATCTTCTAACCCTAACTCGTTCACCTTTAAAATGAATGTATTTCCATTGACTTAAGTATTTTTTAAGAACTAATTGTTGTTTTTCCTTTTCACCCACTATTTGAAAAGCCCGCGCAACTTTCCTTGTGGTGTCCTCATCTGGTTTTACTCCAAGTTCCTCCATGTCTGCAAACACCTGATTCATTATTTACAAGAGATTAAACTTTACTACAACTTACACAATAATTTAAGTTGTATGTATGTTGGAAAGCAACAGGAATTGTTTACCTCTATAATATTTTGGGGCATGTTATGATGAGCATAAATGGATATGATTCTTGAAAACAACCTTTTTGAGATTGATCTTTCATGTGTATGCAAAATCATGTTCCAAAATGACTCTGCTTCATCTACCCTTTTCTCCATATCAAATGCGTGTAGAAGGGTGTCAAATGTTCCCATTGTCATTCCTTGACCTTTCCCAAACATCCATTTCGCCACCTGTACAATGGAATTGGAATTATATGTCAATAGGAATCATAATCCATAGCAATGAAAATTGTTATATATATGTTAAGAGCATACTTGAATGACACGTTTCCATTGTTTGCGTTGTTTAAGGATATTAAGAGCTTTGGCAACTGCAATCACTGGGAATTCTGACTCCCAAGCTGTCCATTTATCGAGTTCTCCATAAACAGCTTCTTTCTCATTTGGCAAACCACAAACCTGAAAGTAAATTCACAAATTTAATAACTTTAATAACAATAAAAAATAATAATAAGAAGAAGAAGAAGAACTTACAATGCGAACAAGATTCAATGCCTTTTGGCCAGATGCAGCAGAATCTCTCTTATTCCATAAGTGGTGTTCTGTCTTACTTGGCTTTTTGGCAACTTTTCTGCAATATTTGTTTATAAAACTTTAACCTCAACAATCAGAATCCTTAAAACAACAAACTTTTCTGCAATATATGTTTGAATAGATTATTTAATATACAAAGAAAAATGCATGATGAGAAATGGCAGGAATAAAAGATAATTTCAAAACTGTTGTATAGATCTTGATGACAGAAAAACTTGGTGAATAGTTAAAAGGGGAAAAATAGTTCATTAAGATTTCGAAAAGGGTGGTTTAGTAATTAATCATTAATCAAAATAAAGAAAACAAAGAAGTAGCTTGCTTACCTATCCACATCATTTAACTTGATGAGCTGTCGAGAACTTTGATTCTTGGAGCACTTGACAACATGCCAAATTTCCTGTGTAAAGTCTCAAAATCATGAATTTAAGAGAGGCAACAAAGAGAAAAAATAACATTCGAATGTATTTTAATAGTGATTAAAATGAGAAAACAAGCAGAATGTTATAACAAACAATTGAAAAAACAAGAAAAATGATTTGTATTTATAAAGGACTCAGTTTGGCATCAAAGAGAAAAAAACAAGAAAATTGAAAACAAATAAAGGGTTGAATGGTAGGAATGTATGTTTACCTTTTGTCTAATGGAAGGGGTTTTAATAAAGGAGAAATCTTGGATTCCAAACACACCTATCTAACAACAAGAATAAGAAACAAATACAAAATGAATATAAGATTTAAAAAGACAAGTAGAAGGAAGCTTAGAAAAGACTATTTTTTTTTACCTGATTTTGTTTAGCTGATGAAACTGGAAATGACATTTGAGTTGTCAGCATATGCTTTGTGTGTGCTTTCACCACCTTTGATCTACAAACTTCTGTTGGTGGATCTGAATATGAAGCTTTTGTAATGAATTTTATAAAAATATGAAACTTTATTGACAATAAAAATACTTTATCTCATAAAAAACATATCAAAGTCTTTTGACTTTTATTTTGTTATGTGGCAATTACAGGTAGAGAATTTGATTAAAGATTGTAGTTGGGGAAAAGTTAATGTGGCTAAACTATATAATACTATATATAAAAGCTACAAAGGGAGCTGAAGGTATTAGGTTTTTACTGGTTTGTGTGTGATTAGCAGGTATACATGTTATGTGCTCCATTCCATATTATCAATAGATTGGAAGGGAAAAAGCTACCATCATTAACCTTTACATAATCACTATTTATAATCTGTGTAATTTATGAAGATGACACAAAATCGAAAACTACACAGACACAAGTACGATTACATGATATTGTAGCATAGCACACAAAGAAGAATACGCACTAAATAGAACAGATTCAGATAAAGAAATTAAAGGTAGAGAGGTGATAACCTTCAAATGACGTTCCTTGATGAGTGTAACTTGAAAGAAAACCTTCAAACGGGATTACGGGTACTAAGAATGCTCAAAATGAAGCCCTATGCTGCAGAGAGAAGGATATGCTGCCGTACATGGATGATTTTATGCGAGTTTTGAGATGGAGATTGCTAATTTCTTTCCGATTTGGAGGGAAATCAATTCATAAGTGGCTGATTTTTCAGCGTTCATGTCTTCACGATAGATACGAGGGCAGAATCGGAAGATGTCTAACAGAGCTGAATAGAATGAAAAATAAAAATCAGGGGTGCCCGCGACTGAAAACACGGCGTTTGGATTTTTTTTTTTTTTTTTTTTTTTTTTTGAGTAAATAATAGGGAAAATGACGCAAGGTATTTATTCGATCATTTAATTTAATTTATTTTTGTGGGAACAAACTATTGCTTTAACCGGTTAATAAAGCCATGCAATTAAATAAAATGTCACATAATAATTTTTTTTTATTAAATGTGGGCCACATTGATTAGGATATGTTTGAAAAAAACTTCTTTCAAGCATTTCATCAAACAGTTTCTCTACACAACAGTTGTTCAAATTGATATATGTTATATCTGATCAGAGGATTATTTTTCCATCTGTAAAACCTGAAAAAAGTCATATAAGAAGTTGTGATTTGGTAGAGGGGGTATTTCATATTTGAAGCTTTGAAAGGGACAAACAGTACTCGTTTTGATGCATCAAGAATCGTTGTGAATCTTCCAAACTTAAGACAAGTTGATTTGGAGTGGCTACCTTTTCTCAGGTATATATCGAAGAGTAAGATAGACATTATTTGAGTTTCCAAAGCTAACAACAGTCTCTATATATGGTTGCGAATGTTTAAAATACGTTTTTACTAGTTCCATGATTGGTACCCTAAAGCAACTCCAACAGCTAAGAATAGATAATTATGGCCAAATGAACGTTGAAAAAGTATCTGATAGGAAAAAGAGTTAGGTTATGTTACCTTGTCTCAGGTCCTTAATATTTAGAAAACTTTCATATCTCAAGGGATTTTGCTTTGCGAAGGAGGGTTTTGTAAAGAATATGAAGATGTATGATTAGATTGAGAATTGAGACAGAGGAAGGAGGAGAACGAGGGGCGATTCTAAAGGCACCCTAAGATGCCTAAAGTCAAAATAGGCCTGTGACGCACAAAAACCGAAGCTTTCAAACGTCTAATATGAACCTCTAAAATCACAATTGATTATTTTATTGAGTAAGATTGATTTGATATACATCACTTGACTATTTTTAATAATATTAAATTGAATTTGCATCGCGGTTGTTAAAAATTAAAGAAGATGTAAGTTTTCAATTCAATACTTATACTTGTATTTATTTTAAAATCAAACTTTACACTTTTTAAAACTTTTATATATATATATATATATATATATATATATATATTATAGAGTGTGATTAGTTTCTACATTGTACTTCAAAATATTTAATCTTTTTTTTAGAAACATCAGAATCGCACATATATAAGTTTGCTAAATTAAAAAAAAAAACAAAACAAAAAAAAAACAATTTTTTTTTAATTTATAGAGATCTTAATAATTATAAACAATAAAACATAAATTTGATTTTATTAATTATCAGATATTATAACTGTAGAATTGTTACAATTACTGTGTGTTGCAAATGGAGAAATGTAGGAATTCAGGCGAGCAGCATAAACAGTTTCCCATCCAGCAGACCGTGATGATCTGTTGTGACGCCAAAGTGGTAAAATAGTAGGCATTGGATATGCTCCATGTAAATCAACCTTCACATAATGATCACCTCTAACAAGAGCAATAACAACAACTCTATGAATTGAGATGTCTTGGGGACCAAGCCATAGTGGAAAACATGTTGACGAACTATCTTTGCTTAGAAAAATAACTATTACATTATACTTGTTAGCAATGAGAAAGCTAGTGACCGACATAATCAACCAACGATCTGTTGGTGCGAAATGTGATCCATTGAAATTCAATGAGTGATGTATGGTGTTTAAATCGTAATCAAAAATCTGTGCGTACTCAGCTGGGTGTGCTAACAAATCATTCTGTAAATCTAAGTGGATTTGACACCAATTATCTTCACTATAACCGAAACACGCAGCTATTGCATGAAATCCACAATTTCCATCTCCCCTCACGTTTTGTATGTTTGTGACATATGGACGAAATTCATACGGAATTTCATTCATAAGTGGATCTGAATTATACATTACTTGTTCTTGGTTGAAGTACGAGCTATGCATCGATTGTTCCTGATTAAAAGTTGAGTTGAACATTGGAGGTTCTCGGAACGAGTACGTACTGTGCCTATCCGGCTCCTGGTTTAGATCAAACAAATTAGACCGCATATAATCAGGCGTATAAGTAGAAATGCTACGTCGAGACGGATATTGAGTTGGTGGCGCTTGAGTCGGTTGATCTTGAGGTGGTGGATGTTGAGTTGGTGGGTCGTGATTTAAATCGATATGAGTTTTCTTGAAAACTTTCTTCTTTAAGGAGGGGCGCCCACGAGTATTTTTGTGAGTAGCAGGTTCAGAAACTGAAGTTGTTGACGGCGTGATTAAGTTTAGTAACTTCCTTGCTAAACTTAACTTAACATGTCTTGATTGTTTTTCGTAATGAGCATTAAACATATTTACCTCAACTGCACAACCCAATTTATCATCTTCTAACGATTTGCATTCTAATAAATCAAGTTTCTTCCAAAACTTATCTACTGAATGAAGCGGTACACAATGACCTTTTTTAACAAATATAGCTTGTTCATGCGCACATGACAGCCCATAACTTGTACGTACTTGACATCCACAATTTTCATAAACAAATCCAAATTCTTTGGACCGCTCATATTCTTTGAAAATGATATCAAGTGCATAAATTGAAACGAAACGACACAATGGTTTTAGATGTGGTATTTCGTAGTACCGATGTACAATGAAAATTTTGTTATGCGCAAGACTCGCTTTTATACCTGTGTATTGTGACTCAACAACATCAGCAATACGCTTCAATGATTTGGCGATATCTAATCGTGATGTTTCGACATATCTTTTTAACTTGGCATGTTGACTTTCAGCTTTATTAGTTGTGTGATTGCCAAAGTTAAGAAACTTATCGGTCCATGCAGACACAAACTTTTCTTTGTGTGGTATCAACCATGTTTTGTTTATATAAGAAAATGCATCTGAAATACATAAAAAATTTCAGTTGATATAATGATTTATAACATATTATAATGTATATTTAAAAACACCTGGATAATTGTTCGTAGTTTTTTCAACTTGTGCCAAATTCTTGTTGTATACTTCCTTTGTTTCAGAGTTAACCAACCTCGTCCATGACGTATAAAGAACATCCCAACATGATTTGCATTTCTTCATGATATTGTTATTTATATGTCATCTGCAAAGTAATCCTTTAGCATCTGGAAATATAATAGTGTATGCGTTCATGAGAGCCATTTCTCTATCAGTCACAATAACACGCGGCAACATACATCCTTCCATTACCGATTTTAGACAGTCTAAAGCCCAAACATAGTTGGATTGTTTTTTTTTCATGCATGTACACAAATGCAATGGAAAATGTCATATTTGTTGGAGTTACACCAACAATCTCCAATAGAGGCATCCCGTACTTGTTTGTTTTATATGTTGCATCCATTAACAAGACATGTGGAAATGCACGCCATATTTCTAATGATCTTGGATGAGAAAAGAATAAATCTTCTAACTTATTTGTCAAAACATTTGCACGACTATAATAAACATATCCATTTTGATCTAGAAATTCCATAACACCTTGCATTTGAGTTTTACATTCTCTCTCCCTACGTCGAAGTTTTTCGTCTGCATTGTAGATAGTTTTAAGAGTAGATACATTTTTCAGATTTAGGTTTTTTAGTGCAGATAATATATCTTTTGGTTTGACATTTTTTTTCAACAAATCTTCCACTATTCGACATTCATATTCAGTTAGTCGTCGTGGATAAGGATGACCTTCTAAATATAATGACGGCTCATGGTTATGAAATTCACATATCATTTTTATCTTCCAAGAATTATCTACTGACGAATATTTACCCTATAGGCTCATGGTTATGAAATTCACATATCATTTTTATCTTCCAAGAATTATCTACTGACGAATATTTACCCTATAGGCTAAATGGACAATTAATTTTTTTTGTCCCTGTTTTTTTTTTTTTTTTTGGAGATTTGTGTACTTTTGTATGTACCTCCACGGTCACATTGAAAAACAACATTAAAGTTACGTTTAGAATTTTTTATGACGATGACATAACCTAAAGTATTTGCGATATTTTGCACCCAATCCATCAATTCTTGACGAGAATTGAACACCTGACAATTATATTATTATCAGTAGCAGACAAATCCACTTGATGCTTACATTACAGTAACAACATACTAATGAATTTATACCTTATTTGTTTTGAAGGGTGATGTGTCATCAAAGAAATGACGACTTTCATTCAAACTTTCATTTTCATATGTTTCATTTGTGTCCATTGGATGAATATCCGTTTCGAATGGTGATGTGTCGTCGAAAAAATAGTTACTTTCATTGAAGCTATTATTTTCATCTATTTCATTTGTCTCCATTGGATGAATATCATCTTTCTAAACATAACAAAGAGAAAAACATATATAATAATAATAATAATAATAATAATAAGAAGAAGAAAGAAAGAAGAAGAAGAAGAAGAAGAAGAAGAAGAAGAAGAAGAAGAAGAAGAAGAAGAAGAAGAAGAAGAAGAAGAAGAAGAAAGGTTAAGTACAAATACCTCATGATATGTGTCACCCATCCATTCTTTCCAACTTGTCATTTAATAAAATCTATATTTTTAACAAATATCATATATTTGCTTTTAAGGAAAGTTACTTTCAGCAAGTCGCTTTCAGTGTACCATATAAGAAATACCAATCCTCTATATATAGAAAAAAATTGTAACCAAATTTTCATTTTTATCCCTTCTATTTTTGTTAATGTTTCATAGTTTATATTTCTTATTTAACAAATTAATTTTTTTCTATTAATATTTAATAATATTCATTATTACTTTTTTTATAAATGTATTCATGAGATCATTTTGATTAAACAACTTTTATGAATAATTAATATGTTTCTATTTGTTAGTTTTCAAAATTAATAAAGTTTTAAGGGTTTAAGATTTAAATTGATAAAATCTAGGGTCTTTTCTAAAACTACAATGTAAACCGAAGGTATAAAATTGTAATATTATATTTTATCGATAAAATGATTCGGCACACATATTAATACATTTTATCGGCACACATATCAATATATTTTATCGGTACACATATCAATCGTAAGAATCTAAAATCAAATTTTCATTTTTATCCCTTCTATTTTTGTTAATGTTTCATAGTTTATATTTCTTATTTAACAAATTAATTTTTTTCTATTAATATTTAATAATATTCATTATTATTTTTTTTATAAATGTATTCATGAGATCATTTTAATTAAACAACTTTTATGAATAATTAATATGTTTCTACTTATTAGTTTTCAAAATTAATAAAGTTTTAAGGGTTTAAGATTTAAATTGATAAAATCTAGGGTCTTTTCTAAAACTACAATGTAAACTGAAGGTATAAAATTGTAATATTATATTTTATCGATAAAATGATTATTTTACCGGCACACATATGCACACATATCAATCAATAGTAAGAATCTGAAACCAAATTTTCATTTTTATCCCTTCTATTTTTGTTAATGTTTCATATTTATATTTCTTATTTAACAAATTAATTTTTTTCTATTAATATTTAATAATATTCATTATTACTTTTTTTGTAAATGTATTCATGAGATCATTTTAATTAAACAACTTTTATGAATAATTAATATGTTTCTACTTGTTAGTTTTCAAAATTAATAAAGTTTTAAGGGTTTAAGATTTAAATTGATAAAATCTAGGGTCTTTTCTAAAACTACAATGTAAACCGAAGGTATAAAATTGTAATATTATATTTTATTAATAAAATGATTCGGCACACATATTAATACATTTTATCGGCACACATATCAATATATTTTATCGGTACACATATCAATCGTAAGAATCTGAAACCAAATTTTCATTTGTATCCCTTTTATTTTTGTTAATGTTTCATATTTATATTTCTTATTTAACAAATTAAATTTTTTTATTAATATTAAAAAATATTTATCAATAGTGACGGAAGATGAAAATCGTCATTCAAAAGTGACGGAAGATAAAAAAATTATTTATTAGAGTGTAATACAAAAATTAGAAAATTAGAGTGTAATACAAAAATTAGAAAAAAAAAGGTATATTTTTGAACTTACATCTAAGTTGAAGGGAGTAAAATAAAAAAATATAAAGGAAATTGAAAAACCTCATTCAAAATTGACGGCGACTCAAAATCGAACTTACACGATTTTATTCATGTATATAGGGGCACCCAATATATATATATATATATATATATATATATATATATATATATATATATATATATATATATATATATATATATATATATATATATATATATAATAATAATAATAATAATAATAATAATAAAAGTAGGAACCACTAAAATATTTAAGTAAGCAGTTAAATTAATATGTAAAACTTAACAAATGGGTAAATATTAAAGGACTCAAAATGAAAATTTGATAAATAAGGATTAAAACTGATTGATTTAGTGTAGACACGCAATTCACTGCAGATACATGAATTTTTCGTGTATATAAGAGGACCCATTTTATTTACCCCTTAAAATATATCCTTAAAATATATCAAGCTTTTAACTTAAACCTTTTATATTTTATAGTTTCTATTATTAAACTTTACCATTATTATTAATTTTATTTAGTAAAAGCTTAACAATTAAAAATTGTATTATCAAAGGATTTTTATTTAATTAAAAATAAAATACTTTGTAGTATCTAACAAAGTTTTAATTAATATATCATTTAATATTTTAAATTTTAAATTTATAGTTATTTACCAAAATGTAAAATAAACAAAACCAACACATACCTAACTAAGTTATATCATTATAACTAGATATATGTCCGCGCAAAACAACGATGATAAATAGATTTTTTGACGAATAGTTTTTTATAGAAAAATAATTACTATATTTTATTATTATCTATTATGTGATAAAAAAATTATCACTTTTAAATAAAAATTTTATGTTTATACCTTATATTAATATCGGTGTCTAGTTTCAAAAATATAAATAAATTTTTATATATAAGTTTAATATTTTAAATTTCATTTTTCTCCAAATTGAATTTCTTAATTACTTTCCTTAATTCAAGCCAACTATTGGCAAATATAAATGAATTATTTATGTATAATTGATTTATACAAAAAACTTTGTAACTTATACCTCTTAAAATTGAAGATATAACTAATATATTTTATATTATAGTATAAGATATAACGAATATTTTCTTCCGCATCATGCCAAATTTGAAAGCATGATGACCTACCAACTCACATGTCCATCTCTCTTTTGGAGACTAAGGTAGTGTTTGTTTTTTGTCTGCAGATCTGCGAGACGTCTTCTGTCTGCGCCGCGCAGACCACGCGCAGACATTAGTCTTCGCAGACTGTTTGTTTTTTTGAAGACTGCAGACCTAAAAATGTCTGTGCGCCCTCTTCTTGGCGCAGATGTGGACCAGAGTCTTCTAACATCTTCAGACATCTTCTAGCTTAAAAAAACATATATATCTTTATTTTTTTTAAGTTTTTTTTTTTAATTTATATTTTTTCCAACTTTATTAATGATAAACAATATGAAAAAAAATTACAAAACTTAAAAAAAAAACATTTGACGATACAAACATGATATTTTTAACAAATTTATAAATAAAAATTTATTATAATAATAGTCGTTGAAGTTGTTTATATAAATATGAAAAAAAAATCATAATATATTCTTATATTTTTTTGCCAAAATTTTGTAAAACTTTATTTAATAGAGTATCATCAATTTCTCGAAAAAAATATTTATCGTACGTTTTTAATAGATTTATTTGAAAAAATCGAAGTTTATTTCCATCTATTTATGTATCAAATTCTTTGATCATTAATTATAATGTTTAGTTATAACTTTGCAATCAAAGTTATTGGTTTTTATCAAATATGTATATGAATTAATACCATTTTTATTTTTATTTTTTATATAATAATAAATAAAAGTTGATCTAGATTCGTTATATATTTATAATAAAGTCGTAAAAATATATAAAAAATTCGCTTTGAAGTTTTAAAAAACCAGTTTATTTTAATAGCCCGCAGATGTTAAAAAAACAAACAGTCTTCTTTTTTCAGACTGCAGACGTTTGGTCCACCTCTTCTACTGCAGAGGTCTACAGATGTGGTCCGCAGACTACAGATATTTTGCCTCAGAAAAAACAAACAGCACCTAAGTTGACTGTTAGAGTAGCTCTAGGACACCCTCATAAAGCACGAATGACGATTAGGCTCTAATATATCTTTGAAGTTAATTGTTGTTTTTTGTTTTTGTTTTATTCGTTTTTTAACAATAAAAACATCACGGGACCCTAGTTGGCTTAAAGAAAATTATTTTCCTAAAAAGTTACTCATTGTTGTTGCGTTCAATGTTACATCGTCGTCGACTACAAATTATAATTTTAAAATTTTGTTTTAGACCTTTCTGTTTATATAAAAGTTACATTTTATCATTTTTAACTTTAAGTTACGTTACGACTACAAATTATCATTTAAATAAAATAAGAAACTATCAATATGATATACCGAAGCCGTTCATAAACTATATCTAGCCTAAAATAGATCATAAAAATATATAAATTTAATAAATTTTTATGTCTTAACTATGGATTTTTTTAAAGAAATTATTGTTTTTTTTAAAACATATGTATACATCCAAAAGAAAATAAAAATATTATTTTTCAATAAACCTTCTAAATATAAATATTATGACTAGTTAGTATTGATAATTTATTTGACAAAAAAAAAAAAACAATCGACAAAAAAAATTCTTGAAGTTATATATGTGTTTCAATCTAAAATGTTTAAAGTAAAATTCAAAAGTTAAAGGTTTGTTTTGTAAATAATAAATATATCGGTATAACAGTAATTAGAAAAGATAAAACTATAATATAATAAAGTAATAATGATTACTTGGTGTCAAATTATGTGGTAAATTTTTAGGTCAATGGGTGCGAATAGCAACACCCGAGAACGAGGAGTAGGAAATTTGAGAATTTTAAAAGTCAACATTGATGAAGGGAAAATGGTTATCCAGATGATCAAATGACCGATTGAACCCTACAAAAATAAATTAAAAAACAATGGACAAATGTGAAATACATAAGGCTGGTGGGTGTGGGAAACATGTTAAAACATGTTATCATACCTAAAATTTATCAACTTATATGTCATGTCATCTTTAACATCATTTGATTTATGTAGGAAATGGTGTGTAAACGTTATAACATGTTAAGAGATACAAAGAGAGTTAGAGAGAAAGTGAGATAATGGCTTCTGATTTGTTGATTCTCACGTTACTTCTCGTGGTCATGGTAACATTTCTTAACATAACACCAAATAACATGAAGAGAGCGGTGTTCTTGTGTTATGGCGCCGTTATGAGAGCTGCCAAATCAGCATAACGCCTTATGGCGTTGCCCATACCGAGTATACTAATAGGATCCTTGCATCATTTTCCCTAAATTATAACACTAGAAAACATGTTTGGTACTTATTCTTTTAAATTAATTATTGTTTATTTAAAATTTGCAAATTTAATTCCCTCCGTTATAATAAAAAAAATAGAATAAAAACTATTTTGGCGGGAGGGACATCCGTGCTAAGAAGAAGGGACTGCAGCTTCGCAGAGTAGCTCTCTCCCCAGACCAGAGCATAGTGTGGAATCTGGATCGTTTCATCGAGCACCATTTCTTTTAGATAGAAAGAGTCGGGTAGGATCTTTCAGTCAAGTGTTTTGCCTTCCTTGCCTATTCATTTAGTCAAACAATTGAAATACCTATTCGCATTCCTATTTAGTGAAAAACTGGCTGGCTCTGGCTACCTTGCGGAGCAAACAAAAGATCCCCAAATCACACTACCTATATGAACAAACAAGCCTTGGTTTACAACCAGCTTAGGTGGAAAAGATTCCATATTCTATGCCAATAGACTCGTGACTAAATTCCATTGTTTGAGTCCAAGCCCACAATAATAAGAATTTGTCATGAAGTGGACACCACTATTGGGCCTGATTCGTGTTATTAATTCGTTCACCCTTCAGACTTATTTATTGGGCTATGGGATGATGTCCAAAGATAGTATCCCCAACATATATTGTAATAAACAATAAAGTTTAAATAAAAGATGAACATGTTGCTGCATCATTGTTGTTTTTTCTTTTGCAAGTTTTGAACAGATCCCAATTGTGATTTTAGGTGCGACATTATAGTGTTTTAATATGGTCGTCGATATGAAAATGCGAAGGTTTGGTGATGGTGAGGTAAGTTCAAATCTATGCAATTTGTAATGTTACTTTAACCCATCAAAAAATACAGATGTTAGTTGAATTCCACATGAATGATTTTAGTGATTTAGATAGGATGTATATTATCTTTGGCACATCTTTTATATGCGATTAAATGGAAAAATTCTTACTTTAATGAAATATCCGAACTTTGTAGTAAAAATAGGACTTACTAACATTTTGAATAAAAATGTAACAAATTGACTTGTTTATACATAGTGCCAAGATATGAATATAAATTACAAATCTACTCCATTTTAAAACATATTACAATTATCATATAATCAATCAATTACAAGTTGCTAGTATGTATGTGTGTGTTTGTGTTTTTTTTCCTAAAAAGTAAAAACTACAAACAATCGATCGGTGAGTCAACCCACTTCTAAAGTGGTTGCAGTTTCAGGGACTGTAGAATCAGTGAGTTCCCTTCCGCTTGTCTCAAAGGGGAAAAGCATGACACAAACACCCGAAGAAAAAATAACAAATTCAAAGAGGAGGATGGCGGCGGTTTGATGGCAGCCATGTATCAAACCCACCGCCACCAACGGACATAGCATGCCGCCAATTCGCCCCACCGAGCTCCCCACCCCAACACCCGTTGTTCTCACTGATGTCGGGTATATCTATATATAATAATACAAAATAGTAAGAATTGAAAGCAGAATTCTACTCCCTTCGTCCCAATATTATTGTCCACAGACAAAGAACACACAGATTAAGAAAAACATTAATTACCACTAACTTTATATAATAAAATGACAGTTTTGTCCTTACTTTGCATTTAATGTTTCATTAAATGCTTAGTTGGTTAAGTAATAATGAGGGGTATTTTGGTAAAAATATTATTTATTTTTAGAAGTGGACTACTGTACTATTTTGGGACAAACCAAAAAGGAAAGATGGACTATAATTTTGGGAGGGAGGGAGTATAATAAATAAAAAGCATGAAGAAAGATTTAAAGTTGAAGGACTTGCCTCAGGGGCGAAAATGTAAACCACGGTGAAGGTTGTTGTGATGCATATTCGAGCCATAAAGAGAAGAAATGTTGTGAGAGCTTGAGGTTGTTGGAAAGTCAATGGGAGCAAGAAAATGCAACAAAGGAAGAACATTGTTGACATGGAGCGCTTTCGACCCAGTTTATCGATTGTAAAAGCTGATATAATAAGTCCCGGGAACTCTTGAACCAAATTAAAGGTAAATCTACTCAGCCAGATTATCTTCCACAGATGAACAATATAATACTCCCTCCGTCCCAAAATTATAGTCCATCTTTCCTTTTTGGTTTGTCCCAAAATAATAGTCCACTTCTAAAAATAAATAACATTTTTACCAAAATACCCCTCATTATTAATTAACTAACTAAGCATTTAATGGAACATTAAATGCAAAGTAAGGACAAAACTGTCATTTTATTAAATAAAGTTAGTGGTAATTAATGTTTTTCTTAATCTGTGTCTTTTTTGTCTGTGGACAATAATATTGGGACGGAGGGAGTAATATTAAACTATGAAAATGAAAATCTCTTATTTTTTATATTAAAGATAAACAAAGGCGTTGCGTTGTTTAGAAAATATTTGAGAAAATCAAGGCAATTAAGAGGAAAGTCCGAACATTTTACATATTTGCCCTCATTTATTTTTTTTTTTTCCGTTTTCTCAAAGGGATAATGACATACAAACCCTTTTGTGGATTTTAGGTTCAATAATACCGAATACTCGCAACTTTTTTTTTTTTCTATTTTGCCCTTTTGTGTATTTCTGGTTCATTAAAGCCCTTACGTTTGCCAGGAATGTTCGGGTTTACCCTTTTTTATGGTTCAATAAAGCCCTTAGGTTTGGCAGAAATGTTCGGTTTTACCTGGTAAATCTGCAAAAAGGGTAAATTTGAAAAAAAAAAAAAAAAAAAAAAGTTGCAAGTATCCTGTATTAGTGAACTCACCCATAAAAGGGAAAATCCACACACTTCTGCAAAACTTTAAGGACTTTTATGTCATTATCCCTTTCTTCAAATGCTATCTAAACATCACGGGACCCACACATGCATATATAAAGCATACCTGCAAAACTAGTGATGAAAACGTCTTTATAGCTAACCTCCTCGGAGCCTTGAGATTGTGATCCATTTTGTCCACAATTATTCGCACCATTATGCAACTCGGTTGTAAGAAGCACAAGCCCATAATAAGAAAAAGCATTCCCAAAGAAAACCACCCATAAAAGCAAAGTCGGCTTTATCAATTCCGGTGAAAACAACATCGCAAATGTTGACACGTTACTTTTACTATGATCGATAACTTCCGGCTTTTCATCATCCGTGTGCTTATTACTCTGAGGGAGCAAGCGTGCATCTTCTGATTCCATTGACTTGACATTCAACTCGATTTCATTGTCGGAAACAAGGATTCCAGAGGGAAGTGATTTCCCGTTTATCTTGGCAACTTTTTCCAAGATTCGTAGGGCTTCACTTGTTCTTCCTTTTAAGCATAAATATCGCGGTGATTCCGGGACTACACGGTAGAATACAAGGAGGAGAGATGAAGGCAGAGATGAGAATGCAAGTAACCATCTCCATCCCAATGTTGGCATCACAAACTACACAAAAGAAAAATTAAAAATATATTACGAAAGTAAATATAGAAAATATATCAAGAGATGGGAAAGGGCATTTTCGTGTTTTACACAAACGAGAGATCAAGAGCTGAGTCCCCGGCCCACCTTTTTTGGGTGGGAAAAAAAAAATTAATTTTTGTCCCCTTGACATCAGTCCTAGTCCCAATGCAATTGCAAGTCAAACACAGTATAACTGTTTCTGTCCTGTTCTGCATAAAAAAACAAAACGGGCCCAAAAAGGGCCCATTTTGTATGACAAGACATTGCAGAACAGGACAATTTTGTACTGCATTTGACATTCATTGAACTATGACTAGAACTGATGTCAAGTGAACAAAAATTTAAATTTTTTGTCCCACCCAAAAAAGGTGGGACAGGACCGGCTCTAGATCTCTTGTCTGTGCAAAAGACGAAAACACCCTTTGTCATCCTCATTGTCGAAAGGTATAGTTATAATGGAAGGAAAGGAATCATATATATATATATATATATATATATATATATATATATATATATATATATATATATATATATATATATATATATATATATATACCCATGCAACAGAAGCCTCAAAAACAGTTCCAATAGTCCAAAAAGCTGAAAAGACAACCATCCAAGTGCCTCTGCTTGGAGCAGGGATGAACTCTAGAAACCAAGAAGAGAGGACGGGCCCACCTCCAAGACCAATTCCAACAAGACAGCGAAGAATGATGAGACATGCGTAGTTAGGAGCTAAAGCACTAAGCATACCAGCCACAGAAGTAACCATTGCAGTAATAAGAAATCCTTTCCTATAATATTTAAAAAAAAAAAAAAAAACAATAAAACAATAAAACTACAACTACAAATCATTTTTTTTTTTTTTTGAAACATTTAAAAAAAAATGGAAAACTATACCTCCTTCCATGTTTATCTGCAACAACACCCCATGAATATGCTCCAACCAACATGCCAGCAAAGACAACACTAGTAATCATGCTTTGTTCATGCGAGGAAAGATTCCATGCAGACTGAAGTGCGGGTCCCACAAACGAAAGAAGCATCATTTCCATGGCTTCTGAAATCCAACCCATCCCTGCATACGCAAGCACAAGCATTTGGAACTTCCCAAATCCTACGCTTGCAAGTGCATCATCCACCGTGTAGCTTCGGCTCTCGTCTCCCATCTTTGCAAACAATTGAATTCCATAACTTAGCTACATTACATATAATATATATATATATATATATATATATATATATATATATATATATATATATATATATATATATATATTTGTACTTTGAAACATCTTATCCAATTATTGCAGTGAAAATTGCTTTGTATTTGGATAGCATTGCTATAACTGGATAGATTTTTCAAAGTACAACACAAAAATAGAAAGAAATGAAAGTAGAATGTTGTAATAAACAAATGAATGAAAGTACATTGCTATTTCTTGCATTGATCCCTAATATCTACATAATATACCATTTTAGCGCTTGGACTTTGACTCCTTTTTTGGGTTAGTGAGGAGAAACTTATATTCTTTCTCATAATGGAAACCGGAAGTACTTTTTATCCAAAGATATGGGAACATTGGCTAGCCCAGGCCCAATTAGGCCCATTTAGAGAATCACAAGCTTTTTAGCCTTCTGGTTGACCCATCAAAGCATGCAACAATGCCAAATTCAACATTTTAGCATCCAACTTGTAACTTCACAAAATGATCGGAAAGTAATAAAAATTAACTACTTTTATATTGTTATTTTTCCCAAGTTTTTAACCACTACCATAACAATTTTTTATTTTATTTTGTTTTCTTACACTATAATAATGTTCTTCATGGAATGCAAATGCATGCTTCAATGTAGGTTTGTTCATGTCTAATATTACCACATTAAAACAAAAAATTTCCCATTGTATTTTTTATGTTTGTTTATAAATATGTCAACAGGTTTAGAATGTAAATAATGAGAAATGACATAACCACCCTTCATTGACTTTTTTGTAGATTACTGTTTGTTTTATATGCTCCACATGCTTTAAAGAGGAGACAAATAGTTATCAAATTTTGGGGTTTAGGAAAGTTATTTCAGTCATTTACACAAATGAGGGAGGAATGGAATAAATTTCATGACTTTATGGAGGGAAAGTTGAATTCCTTAACTAATGGAATTCAATTCCTTAAGCATTTGCAACCAATTCCAGCCAAATCCCAAGGAATCTGGCAAACCAAACTCCCCATAATGTAGTTTTCATATCAGAGTATTCTCTGTTCAAAAGTTACAAAATAAAATTCGAGGGCGCTGACCTAAATGCACAGGGTTAGTTTTTATTTTATTTTTAAGCATACATTTCAAGAATGGTGAAATAATTTTCTGAAATCGATGATCGCTTTCATAGGGAATGTAAGTAGCAATTTGGAATAAGGTCAACCATCATACTTTAAACAGGAAAGATCCATCAATACAGATTCAGGTGAAATTATAAAAAGGCATATCGGAAACCGTATGTAAATGAATTGGCTTCCAAACAATGATCCAAAAAAAAATGGAAAATAAAACCCAAAATTGAAACGGGTTAAGAGTTGATGCAATAATTCCCAGGAAAATTAAATCTAGAATGGCGTATCGTATGGATAATCAAGATAGAGATATGATACATTGATAAAAGGTTTGCAGAAGAATCGAACCTTAAAGAGCAGGAGGATAGCGGAAGAAATCAACGAAGAAGCAGGAGAAAATGTAGATGAATCTCGGATGTGTTTTGACTTTGACAAGCCTCCATGAGTTTGAGAAAATTATGCGACCATCTATATGACAGAAATGGAAAACCTAACTTTTATTTATGTTTCTCATTGGTGAATGGCAAAAAGACCGTGTGTGAAGTTTACACGTTGAATGCAATAAACAGTCAGCAAACATCCTTATTATAGATTTTTTATTTTTTTTATACTTTGGTAGATATTTCTAATTAAAATTTAAAATATGTATTTGTCGAACTTAAAATCTAAATATTATATGTTTTTTTTTGTTTTAAAATATCGTATTTACCTATTATTTTATAAATATATCTTTAAGTTTTTTAATAGATTTTTATATTTTATAATTATATCTATAAATATTACTAAAACAAAACCTTAAATTCTTCAACGAAAAAACATCAACCATTGATTGCATTTCTCTCCTTTAGTCTCCACCTTAGGATCATTTTATTGACATCATCCTGACCCAAAAAAATACACGTGCCTCCCGAATAAAACTTCCTTCTTATGATTCATTCCTAATTTCATTCTTATGTTTTCTCTGTAAACAATCAACACAATCAGCTCCCCTGAAACTCAATAGATATGAACCCTAACCCCTTCCTTCTCCCAATATGCATAACCCCATTGATTTCATCTATACATGGAATCGATCCTATGCGTAACCCCAGGAATTCCTGAGGGGCACCGCGTCGACCATCAACGATTTTCGACCATCAGTTTCTTTTCCACCCTTCGTTCCCGATTCCCCATCAAATCTCTACCTAAATTCACCGGAAGTTTATGAAAACCTAGAAGAATGTTCTTTTCTCTATTTGGGAGAAGCTTTAGGCATTCCGTACAAGTTGTAAAGAAAGATGTCGATTTTCTCAAGAAGAATATCGGTGCAGGCATCAACTGGATGAGCGAAGCTCTTGGTTTACCGGATATTTCGAAAAAGGTAGATGAGTTTGTTTGGTTACTGAACCTCGAAGATCCCCATTATTCCGGTGAATTTCAGTCTCCTTCTTGGCCTCGGCCTTATTATCCAGGTTTTGCTTTTTCTCACTTTCTCCATAATCTCTATTTTTGGCATGATTTACTTGTAATTATAATTTCAAGAAATCCTGCAGCTATTTCTTCAAATTATTTCCATTTCCACCTTTTGTTGATATCTACGCTAAATGACCAATTTCATTCAAGAACCGAACTTCACTTGCTCATGCTCATGCCAATGAAGATAACCATATTGCTGATGTTGAATCTGATGGGTTTGAATTGGAAATCAGTGCTCTTCTCATGAAACTAAGGCCAATCAAACAGGTCTGTGATCTGTCTTATTATTCCTTTTAAAAATTTAAGTTATTGTTTTATAGAAGATTACAATAAGATAAGATATCTCTTGTTTCAGGAGTCTTTAATTCGTGATAACAACAAACTTATATTGTTGGCATCCCTTAGTAATTCATTGGAGTAAATTGTCGATTCTATAGAAAGGCAAGTTCTTATTTTATGTATCGATATATGAAACACATGTTTTTTTAAAGAAAAGATGTGTCATGTAATCTACAGGTTTGGAAATGCATCAGCAGAAGCATCTGATGAAGAAGTGGTACAAGAACAGAATGATGTTAAGCCGGCACCTGGGCATGGGCATCATAAACTCCCATGTTGGGGTTATCTTCTTTAAAGCTCACTGGTTTGCTCCGTTTGATCTTCAATTTCTTCTCCTCTTTTTGTGTGTTGGGTTTCTATTTTACTCCATGTTGATTTTGATTTCAATATATATCATATACGTAACAGTTGAACAAGAACTCATCCATGGAGTTTCTGCCACCAATGATCACAACAACACAATAAGAACAGGTTAATCCAAAGTCAAACACCCTTTTGTGTTTTTCCAAATCCATTTTCAATCAAATAAATCATAACTCTGGATAGATTAATTTCCTTGGATTCAGGAACACTATGGAGTACAATTGCTCACATCATCACTGCAGTCTAATCTTTCATGTACGTATTTGTACGTAGTTTCTACATTTTATTATATTGTCTCATCAATTTTCTCTTTTGGGTGTGGGATTTAGATACAGAACCAGATACAAAATTTTGGTGTTGGATTCAAATAAGTCTGCTTCTCTGGTCCCTACTTCTTGCTTTGCATGACTGTTGTTTGTCTTGTGTGTGCTCTCTATGTGTGCGTGTGCTGTGTTCCAAAATCAAGAACAACTAATACTACAAAAAAATATCAAGATAAAAATACTAAATCTTTGTTTGCTAACTCATACACTAATCTCCTCCCTTGGGTTCCAAATGTTAACATGACAGGGTTGTAGTTATGGTTTGTACCAAAGGCTATTGCTATTTAGATCTCCTCACAAAGTCTAGGAGTTCAATGAAGGTATGTTAACTACATCTTTTTTATGAAAATTTTGTCTTTTGGTTTAGTCTCTACTCCTGCGCCTCTTGCGGTCTTGCCCCTCTCCGATAGTAAGTACCTCACAATTTTAGCTACTTTTTCTACCTCATAACGTGCTTAATCTGCTATCTAGATCTCTTTATCTCATTATTATGTGACTGGAGTGTAAAAATCATTTGCCTTTGTTACTGTGTCACTATGCCTCTCACACTGTAATTGTCGAATTTGTTAATGATTGTTTTATCTTAGTATAACAATGGATTTTTTTTTAAAAAAAAGGAAATCTGATTGCTACTCTTTGTTATCATTCATCAACCACAATTGATTTGTTGTATCAATAGCTAATTGTAATTTATTTGTTTTTAAAAAAAAAATCTAATTGATTTTGTCCCAATTTTTAATTTCATGATTAGAGTAAAGTTAGTGAGAGTGGTTCATCCTGTAAGGTCACTGCCTCAAGTATTAGATAGTGTGCTTGATGCACATGTATGGAATATAAATTATAAGTATCATTACTAATTTAATAAAAAAAATGTATTTTAAATGATTTTAATTATAGTTAGGTGTTACTTTGGGGATAACAGTTCTCTTGCCAATGACATCCGAAAAGAAATGAAGGTATTAAATAGTAAATTGTTGAAAGCTAAAGATAAAAACACAAAGAGGGAAATCCATAAAAACTTAGGATTCTTTCAAAAGAAGAAGGAAAAAGGAAACAACTTGTTGTGACAAATGTAATTAAAAATTCATTTGTCATTCTAGCAACTCTCACAGGTTCATCATCAAGAAAATTAGATGGAATTTCATTTGATTTAGTCATTGTTGATGAAGCTGCTTAGGCCTAGAGATTGCTTGTTGGATTGCTCTTTTCAAGGTAATAAAACAAAACTTTTTTTAAAAAAATTGGCAACATATTGGATGATTGAAGTAAAAAGGATTTTGTTTTTTTAGGGTTCAAGGTGCTTACTTTCAGGGGATCATTTACAACTTCCTCCAACAATTCGAAGTGTTGAAGCTGAAAAAAAAAGGGATTAGGAAACACTCTTTTTAAACGCCTTGCAGATTTATATAGAGATGATGTCATGTCTATGCTGACTGTGCAATATAGCATGCATGAACTTATAATGACTTGGTCTTCTAAAGAGCTTTACAACAATAAGGTAATTTAATTCTGAATTTTTTTATTAACCTTTTTTATCTATTAATTATATTTGTTATAATAATAATGAGTAATGAAGTAATTAATAATGATAGACTAAAGCTCATGCAAGTGCTGTTCGACATACCCTATATGAGCTTGTGGGTGTTGAGAAGTCTTCTTCTTACACTGAACCTACTCTTCTTCTCATAGACATTGCAGGGTATGCATATTTGATATTTGATCTAACCTTATAAATTTTATGATTTCTAAAAAAGAATAATTATATTTTTAGGTGAGATATGGAAGAAAAGAAGGATGAAGAAGAAAGCATATTGAATGAAGGTGAAGCCGAGATTGCTATAACACATGCAAGAAGGTTGATTCAAAGTGGTGTACATGCTTCTGATATTGGAGTCAAAGAAAGTGGAATTAAGGAACGAAATGGAATTGTTTATTCCATTGGAATGGAAATAACTTCTTAGGTTGTGTTGCTAAGAGTGTTGAGAACAAAGGATGACAAGTTAAATGAATTGGAAATCTCAACTGTGGATGGGCTAAGGGAGGGAAAAATAAGCGATTATTATTTCAATGGTTAGGTCAAATTCATAGAAAGTGATATTTTTTTATTATTATTTTTTTATTCTTGTGGTGTATTATAAATTGATTTAAAATTCAATGAAAATGTTGATATTGGTTTTAAAATTCAATTAACTCTTCTGTTTTTGCAAAAAGACCAAAATGCCCTTATCATTTCTTTTTAAATAAAAAAAAATTCAAACGTTATTTTATTATTTTTTTTTGACAGATTTTGCTTGGGTTAAATTTCAATTCTTTTGACAAATCCAATTCCTTAAAACATTCTATAAATCAAATCATACATAATAGTTTATCAATAAAAATTAGAGAAATTAAAATCCCTCATACTTCTTGCCTATCCTTCTACCTCTTTTAGATGAAGACAACTGTAATAAAAGTTTATTAACTTCTTATTAATTTGTATTATATTTTCATGTTTATTATATTTTTTCTTATTCGATCATCAGTTTTTGTTTTTGTAAAATAAAATATACATATAGCAAATTCGCAATCAAAGTAGCATATGCCATGAAAACCAAATATTAGCAAACTTGCATCATGTTTTGTAATTCAAATTAACTTATTTATCAAAATACTCTCATTTATTTATCCATGATAAGCCACAACATTATCAAATAAACTCATCTATAAACAATGTTACTTTGAAAAAAAAATATTTTAAAAAATAACCAAAAACCGGTACCGGGAAAAGAATCAGCACCGACATTGGTGGTTCGGTTCCTGGTTCTGGTTCCAAACCGGTTATATTTATCTTTTACAACCTATGGCAACCACGAGAAAAATATTTATAAAAAAATTAAATTATTAAAAAGATTTTTATAAGACTTTGTATTGATATAAAGAAAGAATCATAACCATATTATGTATAGATACAAAAACCATAAAATTGCTGAAAAAAATCAATTACAATTCAAATACGATTAGGATATATAATTTTAGGAAACTAAAAACTCTAGAAAACCAAAACCCTAATCTAATATTTAATTTACAATCTCAATCTTCCAGAAAATATGAAACCTAGATTAAATATCACCAATATGATGCTTTGGTGAAAAAACAGCTATCCGGAAAACATAAACCACCGCCAAACTTCAAACAAGAAAACCCTAGCTGACTTTTGTGTCTTTTAAAAACGAATATCTGTTGTGTCTCCAAACAGCAATCTGCTTTGCTGAGTGCTGTGTCACGACCAGAGATTGCAACCGCTGCCCCCGGAGTTGAAAGTGACTATTCGTTCGTCGAACTACACTTTGTGTCTCAGTCTGTCGTCCGCCATCGGAGCTGCTCAATTCTGTGTCTGATTCCGTCATTATCAGAACAATAATCCGACCAAAAACATCATATGTGCTACTCTTTCCACATATAAAACATCTTTTAAGTATGGAAATGATATTACATTCCAGAATCTTTATGTCATATCAGCATTAACCAAATTTATATTTTCCTATATTTTGTAAATATATTAAACATCTTATATTGATATTATTTTCGATATCATACCATATTTATGAAATTATTGTATATTTATTATATAATTTCCTTATTCTATAAGCTTTTCAAATTTACAGTTTTTTGTATGGTAAATATTATCTTAAATATGGTATGATTTTATTTATTTTTGTACTTATATTTGACATGGTATATTGATATTATTTTGGATATCATACCATAATTAAAACATATCTTAAGTATGGAAATGATATTACATTCCAAAATCTTTATGTGATATCAGCATTAACTAAATTTATTTTTCCCTATAAATATATTGTCTACGATTTTTCATTACAAATCAAAATTCTCTCTAACCAATTATCCCCTTCCATTTACAGATAATAGTATTCCATGACATCTAACAATGCAGATCAGGTCGTCTTTGATAAGGTTGCTGAAATCAACGCATCTAAAGAGTCTTGGAACATACGTGTTAAAGTCGTCATGCTTTGGAAGCCGACCTATATAAACAATCCTAATATGGTCGCAAGCCTAGACATGATTTTAATTGACCAGGAGGTACTATTTTTACACCATTTGTTTTTTAGATTATCAATTTCTTATGTTATCTCTATTTAAAAAAATTGAAATTCGATTTTTGTTATGCTTTTTTACTTATATTCATACAATTTTAATAATCAATTGTATTATTTTTAATAATAAACTTTAGTCTATGTAATGAAATCTCTTATTGTTCCTTTTTTTTAATACTTTTTTTACACTTTTTTTTATCTTTCATTGTCACCTACAGGGAAGTAGAATTCAAGCAACAATAAAAAAAAAATCTTATTCCTGTATTTGAATCCCTATTCGATGAAGGAGCTGTCCGGGAGATCAGTAACTTCGCTATGGCTAGCAATGAAATCGAATATATGCTTGTCCCTCATAAACATAAAATCAATTTCTACAAAACCACAAAAGTTCGTGTATCCAATGATTTTGTTGATACAGTATATCCTTATCATTTTATCTCTTTATCATATTTGCTAGCCATGAACTTTGACACTCGTGTTGCATTTGGTATGTTATGTTGTTAGTTTAACTTACTTCTATACTTCAATTTTTAATGTAATACATATTTGGATTATTATTACTAATTTATTAAATTTTTTCACATAGATTTTCTAGGTGAAGTTGTGTCAGCTGATCTCATGCGAGTCATTGTTGAGTATGGAAGAGAGAAAATGTTAATGAATCTGGTTGCTTAGGATTTAAGGTACACATTCGTATTATTATTACAAATTCCCCCATTTATATTTATCTTTCATTAATAACCACCATGCATATTTAGTGGTACGAGAATTGCAGTCGCTTTGTGGGGCAGTTTTGCAATGAAGCTGAATACTTACATTTCACAACATAATAATGACACTGCTCCTGTTATTATCCTGCTACGTTTGGCCAAACCCAAAATTGGGATGGTAAGTGTTTTTTACAACAAATTATCATTTCAACTTCAAAGTAATTACTGACAATATTATTTTACTTTTTTCTTGCAGGTCAACCTCAAGTTGGTAATTGTTTTTTTGGGTCTAGATTGCATATAAATGATGATATGCCTCAGATTTTGGAGTTCAAATCAAAGTATGTTATTTACCATTTTTAACACATTTATCTTACTAACTCATTACTTTTTTTGAATAACCTCACTTTTTTGTTTATGTAGTCTTAATGTTGTGGATACGAATGTTGAGTCTTCTAGCCGTACATCCCAGCTCAACTCAGATACCGTTGTGGCTAATCCAGAGGATTACTACCTCCGTTTTCAGATAAAAAAACATTGATGAAATTCCTAATTTTACTGAGGTTTACTTAACATTTTTATATAATAGTTTCCGCATTCTATTATTGTTTTGATTTTATATCTACAATTTATATGAAATAATATTTTAATATGATTCCTTTTTTTTTTCCTATATATGAAACAGGAAGTTGGTTTAACCATTATCGCTACTATCATTGGTTTTGATATGGATGATGTTTGATATTCATTTTATTGCTGTGATTGTTCTAAAAAAGTTACTAAAAATGATGATGATGTTGATGCTGGCCCTTTTCACTGTGATGGTTGTGGATTTGTCTCGGATGTATTTGGAAAGTAAGTAATTATTATCTCTTTGACTATGCATGTATTTTACATTTTTCATATATTTCATTGTGTATGTCAAGCTAAATATAAGTATTATGTTATAATTTTTAGGATTAGGATAGTAGTTCGTGTGCAAGATGAAAGTGGCTCTTCTTCGTTTGTATTGTTTGAGTGTCACGTAAAAGATCTTATTCATCGTGGAAACCAATGGTTGATGGACAAAATAGCTAAGGTTTCAAAAAAATATCTCCGTTATTTAAATGATTGACATATATGATTTTTCTTCTTTAACTTTTCCAACCATTTTATAATGTAAATTAGAATCAAGGGCGACAACAGATACCTAATGAGTTCAATATTCTTCTAAATAAGAAGTTTGTCTTCAAAGTTCAGATTTCCATGTTCAATCTGCAGAACAACTATCGTGCTTACACTGTGCATAAGTTAACCGATGATGATGAAAGGGTTCTTGCTGAGGTGACAAAACGGTCACCAAATCATCAACATGATAATATAAATGATAATGGTACTCCTATTAACAAGCCAAATAAGGTTGGTAAATGTCTCATATATTTCCAAAGTCAAACCCGTTACATTTCAAGGTCATTCAATTGTCATACACAAAGCCATCGTAAGAGTTTATATGTAATACATTTTATGTTATTAATTTACTTTATGATTTACTTATATGTTATTTTATTTGTAGTGACATGCCTATGGAAAAAGTGGACTATGATTACTACAACATAGAATTGTTTTCATCTACTACATGGCAATGGAGGGAGTTTCAAAATATCCGGTTACCATCATCTGTTTATCCTGTCTCTGATGAGGCAGTTACAAGTGGCGGTGCCGTATACTTCTTATTATCTAATGATACCATATTGCGATTTGATATTTATTCAGAAGAACATATACTCATATTTGCACCTTCTACTATTAATGAATTAAAACCGTATGCATCGAGACTAATCAAGTTTCACGGAAAATTAGGATATCTCTCTATAAGTGGAGATAGTTCGTGGGTTATTTGGATTTTCATTCACAATCAGTGGGTTAAAGTAGATGATAGTACTTACAATGAAAGTGCACATGAATGGTGAGATTATAGAAACAATACCCTATATTTCTTTAAAGGAAATACGATTGAGTATGTGGTTCCGACACATCATTCTCAACAAGTTTTTTCAATCCGTTCTGATTTTGATACAGTGAGTATGCCAAGTCGATATTACTGATTATATATATATATATATATATATATATATATATATATATATATATATATATATATATATTAATTTGCATTCGAACATAGTTGTTTTTCTTGTAATGAACTATTTTAATATTTTATATTATTCTATGATTTATTAGTTTTTTTAAAATTATTGTTTTAATTGTTATGAAATTAAAATAGATTTTGTAATGTATGTTAATGAATTTAAAATAGTTATGGTAATCTACTTTTAATTGTCATGCTTCCTATGATGTAATATAAGTTTACAATTCAATGTTTTTTTATATGCTCCCCGTGTTTAATGCGGGTTTTAATCTAGTTAATATATATAAAACAAATTCACCAAATTGTCCTTCAATATTAAAACCAATACATGAGATTGAACTCCCCAAAAAGCTATTTATCCCGTTTGCCCTAGCTATCTAAGTCAAACCCTGATCACGTAGATGGAGATCGACTCCTCAATACCAAAAAAATCTTTTACCTATCAAAATGTTAACAATCCAACCGATACCCACAAAACTATTTTCACATAATTCGACTTCTTTTGTAACACCCAGCCATTCAGGTAATTTTATTTCTTGTTTCAAATTACCAATTATTGCAAAAAAAATGGTCCTTACGCCCTGCATACTCGGGGCGTACGTTGGGCGTAAGCTTTAAAAGGGACGCGGATGTTTAAGAGTATGCATGGCATACTCAATGGGGATGCAAGGCGTACTCGGCAGATATGCAAACCCTAATATTGAGGGTTTGAACCATATTTAAGCAACCTTAACTCCCATAAACCCTAACAACTTCAGCCTCCATCCTACCAAACGACCCCTTGTAGACCCTAATTTTCATTTGAGAGTTTTTGAGTTATTTGAGTGTTTTATGTCCAACCTGGAAGGAAGAAGATCATTGGAGTCCACTTGGAAAGCTTCAAGCATTGTAGATTTGGGAATTTCACCTCTCAAGCAACCTCCAAAAGGTATATAATTCTGAACTTGATGAATGTTTTGTTGGATTAGTGTCTAAGCCAGTAACCATATTTGGTAAACACTTGACCCGATTGTGCATGATCCTTTTGGGTTGCCTTCACCAAAGCAACTTGACTGGAGAAATAATAGAGAAAGAGGTTATTATGATTTATTAATATGTTATAAGAATAATATATTAAAGGAGAAATCATATTTTTTTTAATTAATATTGGTCAATAATTAATTAGGAATTAATTTTGTGATCAAGTGTAATTAATTAAACTAGAGGGGCTGAATTGTAATTATATGATAGTTGCAAAATAGGGTAAGGATTATCCTAGAATATGGGTGGACGAAGTCTAAAGGATATGTATCCTTGAAATCGTCCAAAGATATGGGCTTTCAAGGCTTATCTTATTGTTACTTGGTGGGCAAACAACTAGATAAGGATAAGGACTGAAACCCTATCTCTACACCTATATAAACACCCCTTTGGCTCATGATTTCATCCATGCCTTCCCAAGGGTTCCAAGGGACGAAATTCTATACCTCTTCTCTCTCTCTATTACTTCTCCATTTGCTCTTGGTGTTTGTGAGCCATTAGAGGCACTACACTTGTGGTGCTTGCTTTCAAGACTTAGGGTTTGAAGATTCAAGTTGTTATTACAATATAACAACAAGAGGTATGTAATCTAACCTTCTTGCTTAATTTCGAAAATAGCAATCATCTTTAGGGTTTTATTATGTGTTCATAATGTTGTGTATCTAATAGTGAAAACATAGATCCAATGCTAGGGTTGCATGTACACATAGGATTGTTTGTATAAAACCCATCATTGATTTGAGAGCCTTTGGTTAACTTGTTTTCAATTAGTTTATTTAATTGTATGAACTTGACATTTTAGGGTTTATTGCCAATAAACCCTAGGAGGCTAGGGTTTTTCGAGATTAGGGTTTGCAAACCCTAATTTGCAAGAGTTTGAATAAGATCTTCAAATCCTTTCCTTAAACCCTTAAATTTCAAAATCTAGGGTTTGTTTTAATCCCTTGATTTTCGAAATTAGCCTCCTCCCCAAGATATGATCCTAAATTTTAGGAATTTGGATTATCCCATATCTTGTAATTATCTTCTAATTGTGATATATGGTAATTATAGATTTTGCAACCATAATTTCGAAATCTAGAGAGATAATTAAGGGATTAGGATATCCTAAATGTATAAATGGTAATTATCCTCATGATTTAGACAATCCCTTATGATTTAATAATTAAATTAATAGTCTAATTCAAGATAATTATTAAATCAAGAGTTTTAATATTTAAAATTTTAATTTACATGTCATAAATTCGAAAATTTTTAAGAGAAATTAAAACTAAATTGTTTTGAAAAGTTTCAAAACTTGCTCTCAAGTTTTGGAATTTAAATTTTGATTAAAAGTTTAATTTTGATGCATATTTAAATTCTAAACCCTAATGTTTTGAAATATTTCAAAACTTGCCCTCAAGTTTTGGAATTTAAAAGTTGATTAAAAGTTTAATTTAGGAATGTTAAATTCTAAAACCCTAGTATTGTTTTGAAAAGTTCAAATCACACCCTTATGGTTTTATTAATTAATTAAGGTGTATAATTAAAAGAAGTTTAATAAATCCATAAAAGTTTTGGTTTACAATTAAAAGTATAATTGTTATATTTGACCACCTAACATTTTAAAAGTGTAAAATACACCCTATACTATATATAACATTAAAAGTCTAACATTATATATATATATATATATATATATATATATATATATATATATATATATATATATATATATATGTATGAGTAAAAGTTAGTCTTACCGTTAGTATACCTCATTCATGAAGCTGGTCTATAAGGGGTGTTTAAGGAAATTGCCTATAAAATGGCGATTGAATGAGTATCCACTCTTACCCACCGCACTCTTGACTAGTGGAGGGTCGTTAGCCGAACGGGTAAGATAGGACAAAACCTTCCATTATAAGTATAATGAAGTACAAAAGTAACTAAATGTTTTACAAATTCCCAATCTTAGTTACTTAGGCAAAAGTGAATTGATGCAATTCCATGAAATTACACTTTGTGCCCTTGCGAAGACGTTAGTGGAGCATGTGTGGTTTACTGGCACACTAAATGGTTCTAAGCAAAGGTAGCAAAGGGTGACTCAATGTTTATCATAGTTCGGTGGAGCGTGTGTGGTTTACCGGCACATCAAATAGGTGACTGTAACATGTGAGGGCACCATGTAAGTTTGCATGGTTATTCACACCCGCTTTGTGACCCTCGACATCCCAGTCACAAACAAGAGGGGCATATCGAGATTTAAACATGCCATTGAAAGTTCAATGAATCTCAAAGGATCTAGGAGTTTTCATAGATTTAAAACTTAAATTTCTTTTTCGTTTTTTGTGGTGGAAATTAGTGAATCATCATTCACTTACCTTCAAATATTCTGCAATTAGGGTTACGACATCCCTCTCCCGAGTTGTGGAATATTGTGTTGGGTCCTAGCCTTAGTATTTCATTTGGTTGATTTACTAAGGACTCAATCAATCAACTAACTTGAATTTGTTTCTCCCGTTTTGTAGATGTCAAAGTTCGACAACTATGGTCTTCCAAAATCCCGTGGAACAAGCATTCCACATGAAGATGGTATTCCACGATTCGATCGAGGAACAAGAAATCATGCTTCACTTCCTCCACCTCCTCCAATTGTTCTCCCTAACCCACAAGATCGAAGAATTGAAAGGTTCAATATCACTAAGGCCCTATTGGAAATGAAACATGATGATGGTAAATCCGTGTGTGCCCACATTCTAGGAATGAAATCACACATCGATAGGTTGATTATGTTGGGTGTGTCATTTCCCGATGAGTTGGCTGTGAACTGGGTTCTGCAGTCACTCCCTGAATCATATAATGAGTTCAAAAGAAAGTATTATATGATGTATCATGACGATAACCTCATTGACCTAACTTACATGCTCATTGCTGCTGAATCAGAAATGATTTGGCGAAGCAATGGAGCGTATTTGTTGGGAAAGTCAACCGACCATGCTTCCGAGGACGTTCTAAGAGAAGCGACATGCGTTTGCTGCCAAGAGAAAGGGCGTTGGATAAAAGTCTGCCACAAGAGCCTGAAGATTCCAAGGATGGGAGAGTCAAAGAGTATGGTTGTGCTTCAGGTAAAAATCCACTATCTAACTCCATTAAGTTCCTATTCGTTGATTCTTAATACATGATGTGATAAGATTGCATTTGAATGTTCTGCAGGATCGGTGAAAAGAAAGGAAGCTTGATGAAAGAGCAAGATGAGTCTAATCACAAAGAAATGGATCTCGATCGCATGGACTTGAAGATTAGATTTTGAGCTTATATATTTATGATAGAATTGTTAGGAATATTCGACTACATAGTTTTCAATGGATTTTGCATTGTAAGGACAAATGTTTTCCACTGCTTTTATAAATAAAATAAATTTTGTTTGACGTATTTATTTATTTGTTTATTTCCTTGCAATGAAATCGTTATGAAAATTGATGTTTACATATTTCCACAACGAATGGATATGATTCTTATTTATGGAAATGTCGAGAATTTACCAAATAGGGAGAGTTTCTCATCGCTCAAATTTCAATTGGACATAAATTTGGAATTACGCAACTTGGTTGCATGATGAATGAGAAATTTCATATTTGGAAATTAGACTAATTCGTTGACAAATTGTCAAGTGAAGGACTAGGAGATCAAGCACACAAAGTTGTGTGTTGATCAAGTCCACCATAAGAGTAACAAAGATATTCGTCATGATTTACTAAAGGTTTAGTAAATATGATAAGATTAAGTGTAATTCGGAATTGATTAAAAAGGTTTAAATCAATGGCAGAACGAATAAGAAGAATCAAGTAGGCAGAAAGATAAAAGGTTCTTCATTCTAAGAAGAAGGGAGAGTACCTTTTGTTTTTTATGATAGGTCTTAATGATTAAGAACCAT